TCATAGTCATAGGAACATGTATAAGTCATGAAGAAAGCAATAGCAATAAACTAAACGATCACAGTGCTATGCTAATGGATGGGTCTTGTCCATCACATCATTCCCTAGTGATGTGATCCCGTTCATCAAATGACAACACATGTCTATGGCTAGGAAACTTAACCATCTTTGATTAACGAGCTAGTCATGTAGAGGCATTACTAGGGACACTCAGTTTGTCTATGTATTCACACATGTACTAAGTTTCCGGTTAATACAATTTTAGCATGAATAATAAACATTTATCATCATATAAGGAAATATAAATAACAACTTTATTATTGCCTCTAGGGCATATTTTTTCACATATACCCAACAGCTTAAGTTTGAGAGTCCCTTGCAACCCAATTTCCTTCGAAGATAGACTTCGCAAGTCCAAGGCCACATCAAGCCGATGAGCGCCATCACAATCTGCATCTTGACACTGTCAGTCCACTTATCGCTCCATCGTTGAAGGTGCTTAGCCCGTTGCTCCCAGCTTCTAGTCAATTCTATTTGTAATTGTTGCAGTGAATTGTAATTATTGCCGTGAAGTTTTTTTTATGAGTTGATTTTAAGCCACAACTAAACTTTACTTGTATACTAGCTATTTACCCATGTGTTGCAACAGGGGCAAACATATAATAGTGATTTTCAATACCAATTATGAGTGCCTCAATAGATACATCATGACCGTGAGTGGTTTTTTCTATGGCTCATCCCACTTCGATGTTGTCACATAGAATCATGTGGCAGATCATGAAGATGATGAAAATGGGACTATGGTTTATAAGAGGAGCCCACATAAATGATACTTTACTAAATTAAATTGATCCCCGCTTGAGATATTTAACCGCACTACCTGCTATTGTGAAAACCGAAAAAGAATGATACTCTGCATAATTAATATGATCCTTTCATCCAAGGGTGATGCTATGCGTCTGCCGGCGGATAAAGTTAAAAGATCGGCCGCCTCCCTAACCATTGGATGAAGCCGCGGATGTTCGTGCGTGATCCGTCATCTTTGCAACCAATGTGTTGCTGCAGTATTTTCTGCCACAGAGGTCTAATTGCAGAAATTATTCGCAATAAAGTCCATGTTGCAACAAAAAACTATTTTTCCTCTTAATCTGTTGCAACAAGAGCCATTTTGCAACAAGAGTCTTGTTACAAAAACACGTTGTTGCAGAAGACAAAAATCAATTGTGGATCCCACTCCACGTCGCCCAGCAGCAGCATTAGACGCAGGAAACGTCGGGGACGGCCGAGGGGCAAAGATTCCCAAGGCAATGCGGCGTCGATCTCACTGGAGCGACACAGATCCGGCGGGAGGCAGCTCGGACGAGGTCATCGGGCAGCCGTGGAGAGGCGACCAACGACCGAGGAGATGGAGCATGAGAGTGGGCCGGGCCCGTCGAGGGAGGAGAGAAAGGAGGAGGAGAGGGGGCGATGAAGGAGGAGAGCATGCTTGTCCACGCCGGCGCCGACGTGTCTAGTGGCATGCATGTCTGGAGGCCATGGATCCATATCTTGCAACAAGCTAGTTGTTGCGGGGGCGAAAATTGCAACAATGGTCCAGTTGCAAAGCTAGATTGTGAAAGAAAAAAAAGATAGTTCCGAGCCATCTGATTAAGGAAACATCCGATGGTCATAAAGGTGATGGATGCGCGCAAAAAGATAGGTCGGATGAACGCAAGAGTTTCCCTTCATTCAATGCTAGATGATAGTTTTCAAAAATTAATGGATGTCATTTTTGTTTCAAGGGAATGAGTAGGACAAGGAAAGAAAAATGAGCACTGCTATACACACACAGAGGACAAATTCATGCATGATCTGCGCACTACAACACATCTACACCCTTGGGTTGCCTCGTTTTGTAAATCTTCGTGGCCGAAATCGTGTCGTGTGTGGATTGTGCATGCACAGATCGTGTGCTCAGCACTTTCGAAGAAAAATATCGATTTGGCTCAGATTATTTCAAGTTACTCTACATACGGTTCTTTTTGTGCGGAATCGGTTCAGATTCCAACTTTTTTCGCAGAAAACCAAGCGCGGGTGGCGTTGTGGTGAGAAAAAAATGGGGATGAGGTGAGACGAATCTACCAACTTCACTTTATAATACCAGCAGAAATTTTGCTGCAAGCGGCTGCTGGTGCAATTTCGCGGAGCACAACAAATTCATGGAGGGGGGGATCGACAAGACAGACACATAGGGTGCCATGGAGAAAGAAATGGGTACTACTCCAGTCCAGCCCAAGTTCCAACACCGTCCCGTTCCCATTTGTTGTGAAAATGTGAACCCAACAGCCGCCTCGTTTGCAGAACAGATTCGAGCATCCAAATCCACATGCTTGGCACCATAGCAGAAGAAGTGTAGAGCACTCGCACTCTTTCAAATTCAAATTTGCATGTGGGTGTGGGGGGTGGTTGCCCTCTTCGATGCAAACGAGACGCGGATCGTGAAAGCCAATCCAAACTCCAACACTGTCGTCTCCAGTACACAACCGACAGCACACAAAACTGAGCTTCATTTACTGAATAGTCTTCATTTACTCCTCCACCCCAAGATGCAGGCAACTAAGTTTCAGGAGTACGTATGTTCGATGCAATCATTTGCGATGGATGGCCCAGAATACAGAGCCAACAAAATAATTATTGTAGAGGTAAAAGCACGGGAGACCCAGGAACTTGTCCAACCCGTGATGTTTCAGCCCACGAACTTGCAAAACCTCATCCCGCCACCTACAAACTTGCAGCTGATGTGCAAAAAAACCCAAAGCCAATCCCAACGCGACATCTGGCGCCACGCTGGCGGAGGAGAGCCGAGTCGGTCGTCGCCCGTTTTGCAGAAACCACCCTGGGCTTTAGCAGTAATAAACCCGCACTCCACATCTCGGTTGCACGGGAAAAATCTGTAGCCCCTCTCTCTCGTTCCCCATTCGAGCTGCAGCCAAATCCCTAGCCTCTCTCCCTCTTGTTCCCCTCTGTCTCGCCCAATGCCAAAAGCATGAGAGCTAGGTCGACGGCGACGGCGAGTCTGGGCTGCGGAGGGAGCGGCAGCAGGAAGGAGACGTCCGTCGTCAACTTTGGGGCTCCATCTGCATCTCAGGTTTAGTTCTTCGTCGTCCCGAATTCCCTTTGCTGTTGGGATGTACTATGATTGACAATTTAGGATTTGAGTTTTCGTAGGATGACGTGCTTCCTAATTTGAAAAGAGGGCAAATGGAAGGATCCACAAGGAAAGGCTTCTGTTTTGGGATAGGATCATAACATTTGATGGAATATTAGTCTTGCCGAGATAGAGCTCTGTAGTATTTCTTCTGTTTTGTTCTGATGTAGTTGATGTTGGCATGGTTGTCATTTGTACTGCATCTGTCAAGTGAACTTAATTGAAAAGATCAGGGATTTTGCAGTGCGATAAAGTTCAGACATTGTTCATCACAGCATAGTTCTTTGACTATAAACATGGATAGAAATTCAAATGGATACAAACATGGATACATTGTTACAAACGCTAACTGAACATTGATACAAACAGGCTAAACTGACAGAGTACTAACTGAAAGCTGACAGAATAGTAGTCAACAGGCTAAACTGAAACGAGAATGCATGGATAGATAGAGTGAATTGCAGGTGCTTATTCTACTCGTCGTCGTCCGAAGAGTGGACAATGGGGTTCTTCCCTGTTGAGCGGCAGACGCAGAGGCAGACACAACCCTTCCTCGCTCTCTGGCTGCGCGCTCTGCTTCTGCAGCCCGGCGGAGGACGGCGCGTGGACCAGGACGCAGTTATGACGGCGTCGTCGAGCTACTGCTTGGCTGCGCGTAGATCCTCATCGGCCTGCGCGGTGAGCAAGGATGCCTCATACGCCGGAGCTGGTAGCCCGAAGACGACCTGGTCGGGCGGCAGGTATTCGTCGCCACCAGCATCCCTCCGCTACGCGCGCCGTCTCGCCTACACCTCCTCAAACTCTGCCTCCTCCTGTGCATCCTTCAACTCATGCCCCCGACAAACAGCAGCGGGCTCCGCTGCCGTTGGCTCGATGTCAGAGTTCGCGGTGGAGCGGCTCGAGTAGCTTGGTCGATGTGCTCGGCCGCCGACGACCCTGTGGGGACTGGTGGACATCCTCCGTACAGCCGAGATGTGGAGTGCGGGTTTATTACTGCTAAAGCTCAGGGTGGTTTCTGCAAAACGGGCGACGACCGCCTCGGCTCTCCTCCGCCAGCGTGGCGCCAGATGTCGCGTCGGGATTGGCTTTGGGTTTTTCTGCACATCAGCTGCAAGTTTGTGGGTGGCGGGATGAGGCTTTGCAAGTTCGTGGGCTGAAACATCACGGGCTGGACAAGTTCCTGGGTCTCCCGTGCTTTTACCTCATTATTGTATTACTACTCCGTATTCGATTCCGTTCGAACCCATCTCTGTTCCGAGTTTGATGACTAAATAAATAGCTGGACCCCGGAAAACCAAGTTAAATGCCCGGAGATACAGTCGATGTGCAACAACCGCCACCCATACATACACATATGGGCCAGGAGCATGGAGCAAACATTTCATTTCATTTTATTTCATCGACATAAAGCGAAAGCAACATACTACCAGTACTAATTACACACCTACATTTGGATTCCTTCCTTCCGTTGGCAAACTTTTCTTCAAGGCCATACAGACCATCTACCCTACCAGAATCAATGGCACGGCCCACAGACAGCTAGTACAACCAAGAACACCGCCGCTAGCTAGCTATGCCCTAACTCCCACTTGTCCTCCATTGCCGACCGGCCGGAGCACACATCAACTCCAGGTTACAGTGGCGCGGGAGGCGTCGACAACAAGCGGTTCAGCGGTCAAAATCAGCACTCCAGATTTACCCGATTAGCTTAACTCGTGGCAACTTGTGGCGTAAACGGGCCATGATTATATGCCTAGAGCTCGGCGAGCCATGGAAGGGGGCCAACGTGTTATGCTCCGTGGCTTACCTTTACCTACACACTGCTCCCCTGATCGGAGGTGTCGTCGTAGTAGTAGGGCAACAGCTTGCCGTCCTTGTCCAGCCTCGGCCTCGCGTCGGCGCGCACCTCCTGCAGCATCTTCACCACCCTCCGCATCGCCGGGCGGTTGATCGGCAGCGAGCTCGCGCAGATGAGGCCGATGTTCAGGACCCTGCTGATCTCCTCCTTGAAGGCCATGTCGAGCCTGCTGTCCAGGACGTGCTCTACTCCTTTCTGATCAATGGTGCTGCACACCCACTTCACCAAGTCCTTCTCGCCGAACTCCGGGTCGACCGGCGGCTTCCCGGTCACGAGCTCCAGGAGCACCACGCCGAAGCTGTATATGTCGCTCTTCTCGTTGACACGGAGCGTGTACGCGTACTCTGCACAAATAAGAAGAACTAAGATCAGACTTACATGCACGTATATCATCAACGGACTAATAACTGAACTATTGAAACGTTCAGAAAGTCTTACCAGGAGCAATATAACCGCAGGAGCCAGCGATCACGGACATGGACTTGGGCGCCCGGCCAGCCATCTCCACCACCTTGGCCACACCGAAATCCGCGACGCAAGCGCTGAACTCTGCATCCAAGAGGATGTTGTTGGACTTGACATCCCTGTGGACGATCGCCGGGACGCAGTCCTGGTGCAGGTAGGACAGCCCCTCGGCTGCGTCCAGTGCAATCTTGTACCGCGTCGGCCAATCCAGCAGACCGGCCTTCCTGCTATGCAGCACGTCCCCGAGGCTGCCGTTGGGCATGTACTCGTACACCAGCATCTTGGAGTCATTGTGCGTGCAGCAGCACAGGAGCTTGACGATGTTCTTGTGCCGAATCTTGCCAAGCGTCCTCACCTCGGCCTCGAAGCTGTTGTCTGCCGCCGATCCCTCGCCGGCGTTCTCGACGTCTTTCTTCAACGCGCCGCCCCACAGCTTCTTGACGGCGACCACCTCGCCGTTGCCGAGCACCGCCTTGTAAACCTTCCCGGATGCACCGCTACCGATGACATTGTCCTCATCAAGGCAGTCCAGGATGTCATGCTCGCTGAATGAAACCTTGTGGAAGGATGTCAGTGTCCATTTCGAGCGCTCGGCTCTCAGCTTCGCTTTGTTGAAGCTCCGGTACCTCCAGTAGAACCATGCCACGCCGGCAACCAAGACGACAGCCGCGAATATGAATATGGACCGCATCATCCAGATAATGGCAGAGTGGTTCCCTGAACTTCCTTGCGAGGCAGAGCACAAACCGGCGATGTCTCCGCACAGCCCCGGGTTGCCCAAGAAGCTGCTGCGGTATGCTTCCGTTGCATACTGGGGTGGAAGCTGGCCACTGAGCTGGTTGTTGGACACGTTGAACTGGTTCAGCTTCAGGTTCTCCAGTTGAGCTGGTACTTGGCCGGTGAGGCGGTTGCCGGAAAGGTCAAGGTAGTTGAGCACCGGCAAGTCACCCAGCTCCGGTGGTATGGCTCCGGTGAAGCCATTGTCGGCGAGGTTGAGCTCGCTAAGCTGCTTCCAAGAACGGATTCCCCGGAGCAACTGACCAGATAGCGAGTTGTTGTGGAGCACGAGCCGGCCGAGCTCTGCCAGGCTGCCAAGAGAGGAGGGAAGAGGCCCAGAGAGCATGTTGCCGTCTGCCGATAGCTCGTACAGCTTGGCGACGGATCCAATTTCCGAGGGGATGCTCCCGGTTAGCCGGTTGTTGGAGATAACCAGCTTGGACAGGTTGGCCGCGCCGGCGATGACCGGGGAGATCTCCCCGGCGAGCTGGTTGTCGTTGAGCTCGAGAAGCGCCATGTGCGGCAGGCCCCAGACCGCGCCGGGCACGTTGCCGTCGAGCCTATTCTTGGATAGCCTCACCCGTCGCAGCCTATGGCACCGCCCAAGCCCCTCGGGGATGTGACCGGTGAGCACATTATTGAGCATCAACAGCTCCTCCAGCTCGCCGCGGTCGCATATGCCCCTTGGGATCTCGCCGGAGATGGAGTTGTCGGACAAGTCCAGGCACACCAGCGGCGTGTTCTTACCGAGATCTGCCGGCAGCGTGCCGTTCAGCCGGTTCGAGAACAGGCGCAGCTCAACGAGCGAGGACGCCTTCGCCGCGGACTCCGGCACGGGCCCCGTGAGCGAGTTCAGGTACAGGTGCAGGCTCTCCAGCTTTGGCGCCTCGAACAGGTCATGCGGGATAGCGCCGCCGAGGCGGTTCATGGAGATGTCTATGCTCCTGAGCTCCGCGAGCTTGCCGAATCCCTTCGGGATTGGGCCGGAGAGCGAGTTGTTGTACAGCTCGATCTGAACGGCGCTTGTCAGACCGGCAAGCTCCGGTGGTATCGGGCCGGTGAGCGCGTTCAGCGACAGGTCGAGGTCGGTGAGGTTGGCGAGCCGGCCGAGAGACGCCGGGATGGAGCCGACGAGGTTGCAGCCGGCGAGCCAGAGCACGCGCAGCGCGGTGAGGTCGCCGAGCTCGGCGGGCACTGGGCCCGGAGCGAACTTGTTGTAGGACATGTTGAGCTCCCGGAGCGTGGCGACGCGGCCGAGGAACACCGGCACCTTGCCGCCGAGCAGGTTGTTGACGAGCGAGAGCGACTGGAGCTTCTTGAAGGCGCCGAAGGACTCCGGGATGGGCCCGGAGAAGTTGTTGGCCTCGAGGCTGAGGTAGACGAGCTCCGGGAGGTCGGCCAGTGCGTCGGGGAGCGGCCCGACGAGCGTGTTCATATACAGGTCGAGGCGCACCAGCGCCTTGCACCCGGCGATGGCCTTGGCGGCGATGTCGGGGCCGATGTAGTTCTCCCTGAGGTTGAGGGACTGGAGGCGCGGGAGGCGGCAGAGCGCGGCGGGGAAGGAGCCGTTGAGGTTGGCGTTGGGGAGCGAGACCTCCGTGACGGCGCCGTCGACGCAGGAGACGCCCGTCCAGCCGCAGGGCGTGGCGTCGCGGGGGTTCCAGTCCGCGAGCGCGGAGGCGGTAAGCGCGCGCTTGGCGTCGAGCAGGTAGAGGCCGTCCTGGTTGAGCCCGAGCGACGGGGACACCAGCAAGGCGGCATTGGCCGCGACGGCGAGCAGCAGGAGGGGGAGGAAGGCGGCCATGGTGGGCGATGGGACGGTACGGTTCGTTGGCTGGGCGCGCTCGAGGCGAGTCGGGGTCAGATGAAGGACGGCGACATGGGCGTCGGCATTGGCGACGGCGAGTGTGTGGGGAGCGAGCTGGTGGGTGCTCTTATTGAGATGGGGATGGATAGGGGAGAGGACAAGGGAGGGGGGGTAGCTGAGCTGAGCAGAGCAGAGCAGAAGCGAGCTGAGCACGCACAGTTTACTAGGCGGAGACCCGGTATCGAGTAGAGTGGGGGGAGTGGATGGAAGCTGTCCATTTTTAAAACGTTTTCTTGGGGAGGGGAATCCTCGGCGAGGAGAAGCGGATGGAGGCCCGGTAAAAAAGACATTGGGGAGACTGCCATTTGACCTGTTTTGTTGGGGTCCGGCTCGGCGCGTTCCTACTGTGGCGCCGAGATGCGGCTGTGTTTTGTTTCGGTTTGGGCCTCTGAGAAGTGGGGCCGGATGCTGCCGAATAGGAGATTTAGGCCGGTCCTGTCGGTCAAAAATTTAGGCTGTTTACCATTTCCTTTTCTTTTTTTCAAAAAGATCAAATCTGTTATAAATCTCGTAAATACATACTAGTGCGCGTGCGCTCGCCTATAGTCTCAAGCGGCCGGCCTCGAACCGTCCGATCGCGTGCCATCGCACGCCGGCGCCCGCCAGGTGTTATCTGGTCGGTTTCTCCCTTGGCCCGCTTATCCCGCACACCTGGCCCGGTCGTGCCGAGGCGCGCGGCTCACACCCACTCGGTGGGCTTGTCCTGTCATCGACCGTGTAGGTATACCAGTTAGTCACCGTAGACAAGTAGTGGGCGGTGGGCAGTTTTGAATTTCGTGCCACTCTCACCGCTCGCTCGTTCTCCCCGCGTCCGTACCGCTCTCGCCGCGCCCGTTCAGGGGGAGCCCGCGGCCGTAGTGCTCTCGCCACGCCCGTAGCGCTCTCGCCGCGCTCGTAGCAGGAGAGGCCACGCCCGTTGTCGGTGTCAAAACCGGCAGATCTCGGGTAGGGGTCCCAAACTGTGCGTCTGAGGATCGAAGGTAACGGTAGGCAGGGGACACGATGTTTACCCAGGTTCGGGCCCTCTTAATGGAGGTAATACCCTACTTCTTGCTTGATTGACTTTGATGAGTATAGGGGTTACAAGAGTTGATCTACCTCGAGATTGTAATGGCTAAACCCTAGATGTCTAGACTGTATGATTGTTCTGGCCTTACGGACTATACCCTCCGGTTTATATAGACACCGGAGGGATCTAGGGTTGTACAGAGTCGGTTTACAGAGAAAGGAAGATGCATGATCCGAACGCAAAGCAGACTCCCATTCGGACACGGGGGAAGGTCTTTGATTTCGTATCTTCACGGCCCATTAGTCCGGCCCATATCACATAGCCCGGACGCCCGAGGACCCCTTAGTCCAGGACACCCTCAGTAGCCCCTGAACCGGGCTTCAATGACGACGTATCCGACGCATAGATTGTCTTCGGCATTGCAAGGCGGGTTCCTCCTCCGAATACTCGAAAGCAGTCTTCCACACATAAGAGATATATCCGTCCGTGCTTAACACGTACAACCCTAAGCTGTAAAAGACAACAATACTTAAAATAAGTCACGTCCACGGGCAAATTTTTCGGCGAGACGTTATGTTCTGGCCTTGTTATTATTCTGAACCATTTTACAGCCCCTCGCTTCGCGTTTCGAGGCATGGCCATCGACACGTCTTGTCAAAGCAGAGATCGTGTCCCCTTATCACAGGATCCTCATCAATACGGGTTTGGGTAAATCCAACCAAGCCATTCTCACGTCTCCTTGGGAATAGACGAGGTTTAAGGCTTATGAGGGGGCGCTTGATATTCACTACCTCTATAAAAGGACAATGACCCATCTGTTCACCTCACGCCTTCTTCTTCCTCTTCCCTTCCATCCCCGAGCTCCAGCGCCCAAGTTCTAAACTTCCCCTTCGCTCCAACTTCTCCAGCAATAGCCGGATCCGGTTTCCAGGGCAAGTGGATGGCCTCCTCCGTAACGGAGAAGAACATCAAGGATCTGCGTGACGCGAGGTACTTGACGGCGGAGATTACACACACACTTCCTACCCCGAGGCAGGTTATCCCTACCCCGGAGCCCCGCGAGAGGGTGGTGTTCATCCCCCACTTCCTCCGAGGACTTGGGTTTACCCTTCATCCCTTTGTCCGAGGCCTCATGTTTTACTACGGGCTGGATTTCCACGATCTGGACCCGAATTCCTTCCTCCATATCTCGGTGTTTATCATCGTGTGTGTGGCATTTCTCTGTGTCCCCCACACTTTGGCCTATGGCTCAAGGTCTTCGATGTGAAGCCGAAGGTGGTTGAGAGCCAACACGCAGAGTACGGCGGCGCCATTGTGAGCAAGCTTCCCAGCGTCACCTGGCCCAAGGGGACATTCATGGATACTGTCAAGGTATGGCAACAGGAGTGGTTCTACGTCACCAAACCCCGCAGCTCCAAGCGGGCGGCCGGTCCTGCTTTCAGATCCGGGCCTCCTCTACGGCTCGCATCCTGGACCAACAAGGGTCTAGATTGGGGATCCCCTGACGAAGTGTCGACACTACAAAAGCGAATCAAGAGCATGATAAAAAAGGACATCACCCTTGCTGATGTGGTCCAAGTGATGCTCATCAGCCAAGTTCTTCCCTGCCAACGACGACCTCTCAAAATGTGGGAGTTTAATCCGGAGGGGCCACGGACCCTGCAACGATTCTTTGGCACAAGGCACAAAGGGATCTGGAAGCTACTCTTCAAGAAGCAGAAGACGTGGCCAAGGACGTCTGACGACACCGGCCTCGACTGCAACAATCCGGTATCCCTAGTAAGTATCATATTTCCAAACATTACTTAGCTCGTCAATCTTAGGGAGGGGTGTTGAAAATTCCATCTCCTGAATAGGACTGGATAAAGAAGGCGGAGCGGATTAAGTGTCCAGCCCTGCTCCCCGAAAACCCAGCTGAGCCTCTGTTGATGAGGATGCTGGTCCCGACGCCCTACCAGGCGTCGGCGAAGAAGGACAAGAAGAAGAAGAGCAAGGAGGCCGAAGGTGGCCCCATCACGAAGATACTTCGGGCACTATGTCTGGAGGAACCGAGGCTCCTTCTTCTCACGAGGGAGACGAAGACGAGGACGAGGAGGAGGAGGAAGAAGAGAACCCTCCTCTCAAAGGTAAAAAGAGGGCGGCCTCCATAGATCCGGAGGAGGGGGCATCCAAGAAGGGAAAGATATCCCTCTCAGATGATTCGGATTCGGGCACCGAGGCTGTCCCCAAGCATCGCCCTCGAGCCAAGCCCCTTGCCAAATTGTAAGTACCTTAGGATGCCTTAGGTACAACCAATCTTTTTATAAATTATAAGAATAATATCAAATTTCGTGTTTCAGTCCGGCCCGTGACATCCCTCAAGAATCATCGTCATCGGGGGATCTTTCGCCGGAGAAGATGGAGAGCGAGACGCCTCCACAAGCTTCCCCGCCTCCTAGGGCGGACAACACCGAGGTGTCGTCCCAAAGGATTTCTCTGGGCTCCGGAGAAGTGCGGAAGGGGACCAAGACGGCGCCAGAGGATGACGCATTGGCTACTAAGAACATGAGGGGCGCAACCCTCATGGAGACCGGCGACGGGGTCCTGGATTATTCGACCCCCGTCCGGATACTATTCCGGAGACACAAATGGTTCCGAAATCGAATCAGCAGCCCCCTCCATGGGAGGGGGAGACGGCTATTCTGGCGGTGACCTCTACTAATGTAGAGGCGCCGAACATGCTGATGGATGCTCTGCAAAGTGTGCCCGTCTTGGAGGAGCACCGTACCTTGATGGGTACGGTGGTTGAGAAGGTTCATTCCGCTAAGAGCAGGCTGAATGAAGCCTTCACGAGCCTACTAACAGGCTTCGAGGTATGCGATGTAATGTCTTTTAGCCTCTTCCTTATGACAAATCTGCATGTATATACATAGTAGCCCCTGAGACTCTGTTTGTCCCATGAAGGAGGGCGAACAGAGGATCTATAGATATCCGCGGGGAATAACATACTTACCTTTTTGACAAAAAAACAGGCTTCACTGTTAGCAGCGACCGCTCAGGCCGCCGAAGTTTCTGAACTGAAGCGGAAACTGCAGCTAGTCGATGAGGACAATATCCGTATCAATAAGCGGCTCGACTTGGCGCGGGTTATGTTTCAAGTACTCCATATATAATTGAATTAGTTTGCAAATGCTAAGTTGAAGCTTACACGCTGCATGCATAATTGCAGATGGTGCTGCTAAGGTCGAGACCCTCAGGAGTGACCTTGCCCGCACGACAGAGCAGGCAAGGGTGAGCGATGCGGCCGCTGAGAAAACGACTGATGATTTGAAGGCCGAACAGGCCACCTGGTGCCAGTTCGAGGAGCGGGTATCCAAAGTTGAGCAAGAGCTCAAGGACGCCACTCGAAAGTGCAAGCTCCTTGAGCAGGAGAATAAGACTAAGGCGGCCGAACTCGCCAAGGCCCTTCAGGAGGCCCAAGAGGCGAGGTCCGAATCCCGAGCGGCTCGCGAGGAGATCCGACAGGCTGGACAGATAGCGGCTGGTAAGCCCTTCCTTTTATAGTCTAAGTTTGGCGATCAGAGGTATGTTGCTTAATCGACTATGGAGTTCTCCAGACGCCTTTGCGGATCTTCCGAAGAGCGTCGCCGACGCTGCACAATTCTACCGAGCCCAGGAGGGGCATGCGACGAAGAAGCTGTTCTGATCGCAGTTCGCGATGCAGGAGCACTCGATGCTGTTGAACGACCAAATGGCACAGTGGGCCGAGCTGCATAAGATGTCCAGAGCGGCCATGAAGGAGGTCATAGTCCGGCTGTGGTCGGACGAACCCGTTCCGAACAGCCATTTTGGCCTAGTGCAGCGACTCATCGATGTTGTGCCTCGAATTGATGCAATCAAGCGATCAGTGTGCATAGAAGGTGCATGGATGGCCTTCGCCCACGTCAAG